GGGTCTAGGCCCGAAATGTCAGCTTTCCTGCTCCTCTGATGCTGCTTGGCCTGCTGTGTTCATCCAGCTCTACACCTTGTTATTTCAGACTCTCCAGCATCTGCAGTTCCTACTATCTCTCCATACAGGTCATAGGGTGCTCAGACAGAGCAAAGTATACAAAATTACGGCTGCACAGGAAGTGCACGAAGCAAGATCAACATTAGCGAGATCAACATTATTTGAAGTTAGAGAGGTCCATTCATCAGTCTAATAACAGCTGGGAAGAAGCTGTTCTTGAACCTGTTGTTGCATGTATTCAAGCTTCTGTATCTTCTGCCTGAGGGAAGAGGTTGTAGGAGAGCATCACCAAGGTAGGAGGGGTCTTTGATTATGTTGGCAGCTTTTCCGCAGCAGCAAGCCATGTAAATGGAGTCCATGGATGGAAGGTTGGGTTCCGTGATGGTCTGGGCTATGCACACAACCTTCTGTAGTTTCTTGCAGTCCAGGGCAGAGCAGTTGCCATTCCACGCTGTTATGGAGGGACGGAAACTAAGATAACGAAGACAGTTTACTCTGGAGCAAAGGAAATTGTAGGAGCTCTCACCTCCTTCAGATTTTTAAAAGGAGATAAAGTGAATTCAAGTACATATCACTCACAATCAATGGCACAGATTCAGGGTCAGGAGAATGAGTGTAGACAGAAAGTGTAGATTTAACTACCCAACATGAAGGTCAGTGAATGTGTTGAATTGACTGCCCAGGAAACAAACTGTTAACTTTGGAGATTAATGACTGAGTCAGCCATGATCATACCAAACAGCAGAGCAGGCTCAAAGGGCCAAATAGCCTACTTCTGTTCCTTGTTCCTTTGTTTCTATGAGTGGGTAAAGGTGAAAGTATTCTTTTCATATAAGATAATATTAGAACTTTCCAGACACAATGTTCCTTCCCACATCCCCATGATCAAAGAAGCAGCAATTAAATTGAGTCATTATTTCTAAAGCTAATGACCCATGTCCTAGCACACAGACCTACCTCAGTAATTCACTTCGGATTTTTGATGTCACCATATCTCCAGGAATATCAACATAACAAGCTCCTGGGCGGCCATAGATACTGCTTCTAACTGCCTTGAATAAAATATAAGATTATTTGAGATTTATACAGATGAATAGGTTGTAGAACAACAAAGAGAAAGGACAAACATAAATTTATATAGCATCGATCAAGATACCTCAAAGTGCTTTGCAGACAATTTTAGATCATACCTTTCAAATCTTCCATTACCATCCTTGAAGATGTCCTCTCCCACCAACAGGGTACAACCATTAGATGTGGCAGCACAGTGATGTAAGTGGTATATCATTGAGAGGGAGTTGCACAGGGTCAAAATAATTTTCCTTTTCCAAGGGCTACTCTTGACACATTTCTGAGGGATACTTTTAGATTTTTGGGGGCTACGTTTTCATTCTCAGTAAGGAGCAGGTGAGCTGAGGACCCTGGGACCATGCATAAAGAGAGGAATTCAGGACCATGAAACCAATGTGAGAAAACACAAGTGACTGAGCTCAGTCGGAGCTGCAGCTAAATCACAACAGGAACGCCCAGCCCCCACCACAACACATTTCTGTGAGTAACTAGAGACCCCCAACAGGGAGGCAAATCTCAGAGAAATGTAAATACATGAAAATGTAACTGGGGAACAATGGTAGGGGATTTCAACTTCTCCAATATTGACAGCGATAGACATTACTTGAAAGCCTTGGAGGGGGCACGTTCTTACATACATCCAGGAGAGCTTTTCGAGCCAACACATGGAAAGCAATTCAAGGGTGGAAGGTGCTAAATTTAATTTTGGAGAATGAAAGCAAGCAAGTGGTGTAAGACTCAGAGGATGAGCATTTTGGCAATAGTGACCATAAATCAGCAAGACTTAAGGTAGTTATGGAAAAGTACAGAGATAGTAAAGTATAGGAATTGGGCAAAGGCCAATAAGTCAGGATCTGGCCAAACAGGACTGGGAGCAACTACTAACTGGAAAATCTACAGCTGTCCAATCTGATGAAAAGTCATCTAGACTTGAAACATTAGCTTGCTGTGTTTCCATGGATGCTGCCTGACCTGCTGTGATCTCCAGCATTTGTTCTCAGTTCAGATTCCAGCATCTGCAGTAATTTGCTCCAGCATTACAGCAAGATGTGTAAGATGTCAAGAGATGTACAGGATTGGATAAGGAGAAAAAGGGAAGCTTATACCTTTTGCTTAGAGTTCAAAACAGTAGGACCTGGAGGAGTACAGAAAGTACAGTGGGTTACTAAATGAAGAAATTAAAAAAAAACACTGGCAGGCAAAATAAAGGAATTTATGCCAAAGGCATTTCATAAATATATCAAGGGCAGGAGCATACCAGAGAAAGAGTGGGAATACTTTGGGATTAAAGGGGCAATCTGGGGCTGGAGCCAGAAGACATTGGTGAAGACTTAAATGAGTGCTTTGCATCTAGAGAAGCACAATGTAAGTGAGGAGATCAAGAGGGGAGCTGCAATATACTCGAACAGATTAGCATTGTGAGAGAGGAGATATTAGTGGTTTTAATGTATCCAAACTGCTGCGGGAAGCAAAGGAGGAGACTGCAGGGGCTCTGACATTAATCTTCAAATCCTCTCAGGCCACAGGAAAGGTGCCAGAGGACTGCAGGGCAGCTAATGTGGTATTTTTATTCAAGAAGGGGAGTAGGAATAAAGCAAGAAATGACAGACCAGTGAGTCAAATATCAGCAGTAGGAAAAATATTAGAAAGAAGTCAGAGGGTCAGGATTCATCTCCACTTGGAAAGACGAGATTAATCAAGAATAGTCAACATAACTTTGATCATTCCAACAAATTTGTCTGATGTCTCCAAAGAAGTCACCAGGATGTAGATAAGAGTTGTGTAGTTAATGTAGCCTCAGCAAAGCTTTTGACAAGGTCTCACATGGGAGGCTGGTCAAGCTGTAAGAACCCTTAGAATCCATAGTAATTTGACAAATTAGATCCAAAATCATCTTAGTGACAGGAAACAGAGGGTGATGGTCAAAGCATGTTTTTGTGACTGGAAGCCTGTGTCCAGTAGTATGTTCCAGGCTCAGTGCTGGGTTCCTTGCTGTTTGTTGTATACATTAATGATATAGACATAAATGTAGGAGGCATGGCCATAAGTTCATGGATGACTCAAAAATTGGTGATGAGAAAAACAATTTTAGATTTTGGGATAATATAGACTGGTCAGATGGGCTGAACAGTAGCAAATGGAATTTAATCCTGAAAAGGGTGAGGTAATGCACTTTGGGAGCACTGCTTGAGGAAGTGGTAGATGCAGGTACAATTATAACATTTAAAAGACATTTGGACAGAAGAGGAAAGGTTTAAAGGGATATAGGCCAAATGCAGGCAAATGGAACTAGTTCAGTTTGGGAAACTTGGTTAGCATGGACGGTTTGGACCTAAGGGTCTGTTTCCTTACTGTATGACTCTATGACTCTATTAGCATGATGTAATAACTGGGCAGCCAAGTTGCACAAGTATGAGATATTCTGTATCAATTAAAGAGAAAGGAACTTGGAATAACATATTCAAAAGATGGCCACCCCGAGAGTACAAGCACTCCCTCAGTACTACACTGAGGTAACATTGGATGTTTGATCAGATATATAGTAACTAGTTTAGTTTATATACACACTGACAATATAAACTTGCTCTGAATGCCTCTTACTGTGGCTGAAAATCCATAAATTTTAAACAATTTGAAAATTTTGATTACATTTAAACTCATGATGAATCAAAAGGTTGGTAAGTAGTCATCAGCTGACAAAGTAATGCAAATTTCAATGTTGCTGGGTGGAATTTTTCCAGGCTTAGGTAAGTGGGTTTGTCTACATGTAGGGATTTAACTGTACCAAAGTTTTGAGATAAGTTGTCAGGGTGGGGTTGAAGACAAAGACAAACAAGCTACATCTTGCAGGTTCCAGGTGAATAATTAAAGTAATCAAATAGCTCATTAAGTAATGTTTTCTAATTTCACAGTGAGAATGCCTGCTTCTGGACCTGTCAGCTATTGGCAGGGTCATTGAAGTGAAGGAGAAGCTGGAAAAGATACTTCAATGAAGTTGAAGAGCTGGAAATGCTCCGATCAGCGAAGCTGAAGAGCTCCAGGCAGGGCCAGGTAAGAGGCTGGTGTTCAAAGCACTGGCCTCAGAGTGTTACCTTTGTTTGACAGCTGACTTTTAACCTCTTGGAAGCTAGTTCAGCTGCCTGGCACTTCACTCACTTTCAGGTGCACTTTCCATCTGCCAGCTTTCACAGCTGATGCAGCTCTCCCTCAGAAATCTGATGAGGAAGCAGAGGATAAGCCACACAATCCCCAACACCAGTAGCAGTAGTTACCCTATCATCAGCGACATAGCCCTCCACAGGGCAGACAGAATGGACACCAAGATGCAGCTGGAAGGAGGAAATACACCTCAACCCAGAGTCTATAGGCAGAGGATCAACTCTCTCATCTTGGACAAGCACCAGTCTCACAAGATGCTCAGACTCTCAAGGCAATTTACTGCTGAGTTCTACAGCCTCCTGGAACTGAGTTCTACAGCCTCCTGGAACTGAGTTCTACAGCCTCCTGGAACAAGACCATCTTCCAATGAAGAAGGTTAGCACAGATTAGAAGCTGCCTAAAAAGCACAGGGAGGCCAATGTCCCCACTGGATCTCTACCTCTCACTAAGACTACGTATTCTCTTCTCCCACAAGAAGAAAAAGGAGAAAGATTTAACGTCTGGAATGTTCTGTGGAAAGGAGAAAAGAATGTTTGTGCTGGGTAACTGTGAAGTATGGGTGTCAGAATAAGCTGAGGGCGAGTGAGTGTTTGTTGTGCAGATGAGGCTGTGAGGAGGTGCCTGGAAAAACAGAAATGGGTGGAGTTGCAGGATGTGTTATCCTGAGGAATACTGTGCAGTCAAATGCAGGAAAAGGCAGAGTGTGGTGTCCGGCAAGGACAGAATTCCAGCACTGTTTCTTGGTTAGATGGACCAGACTCCTGCCGCTGACTTCCTGAGCCAATTCCATACTTGTCTGTTTGATTAAGGGGCCGGCACTCCCATCAAGTGGAAAAACTCACCTCACTGCAATCCCTCAACAAGACATCCAGGTAAGAGTGAGAGACCTGTACCATAGCCTTCTAAGATCTCCTCATCATTCCTGTGGTTGTTGGTCTTCCAAAAATACAAGTATTCCCTTCTAACTCATCCTGGAGTTCCACTAATTGCAAATCCTTCTTTTGACAGATCCAGCATTTCGGCCACTCACCCTAACTGATTGAGGAACCTAGGAGCAGGATGTTAATGTTGAGACTCAGCTGAAAAGTTTCAGCAAAGCCTGTCAAATGTTCCTGCCATTTGGCCAGGGATGAGATTGACAAAACCTGACTCACTGTGTCAAATTAACCACTGGGAAATAAACTGTTCATCTGAAAACAACAAATCTCAGGAGTTCTTCCACTTGTAAACACTGGAAAACAGATTTCTCACATCTTCTGAAGAAGGGTCCAAACCCAAAACATCAGCTTTCCTGCTCCTCTGATGCTGCCTGGCCTGCTGTGTTCATCCAGCTCCAAACTGTGTTATCTCAGATTTCTCACATCTTAGTCTCTCTTGAGTTAATTATTGGAGACCAGAAAGTTAACTCATTACACTTCCTTTGACAAAGGTTACGAATAATATTGAATATTAGGCTAAATAATTTCTGCTGATGTTTTCTCTTTAGTGTCAATTTACTACAAATAGTTTGATATGTCCTGTTTATAGTCACAAAAGAAATTAAGTTGCAATTGTATTATATAACAATGAGCTTCTGCCAACTTTCTATGGAAGAGCATTCACTGTATATTTTTAAACAATTGTTTTTGAGATAAACTCAATAATACAGAACATTTTATCTACTATATCTACGATGCATTCCAAATTACCTTTTCTATTATGGCAGGTATAGCTTCCAAACTGTTTGGTCTAGCTGCAAATTTGCTGTAAAGCCGACATGCCTCAATCTGTCAAAAAAAAATTATAATGAAACCTGTTGAATAGAATTGACAGAGAAAGACAGAAGACAATAAATCACAAAGAGAACGTCTACAATTTTAATAAATAATGTAATGGCCTGGCATTTGCAGCAAAGGAAGATGTTCACCACTTACCTCAAAGAAAGTCTCTCTGTTAGCACCAGCAATCTACGGAGAAAATGTTACTTCATCTCACCATACAATAGATACTAATGTCATGTGAACTCCTGTCGTAGAGCTGTCGAGATGTTTTCAAGCTCTCCAAGCAGCCAACCGCATCAAAGATGTTTCACAGTCAGCCAACCAGGAGATTTGTAAGTGCTATAATCTAATGACTTTTCAAAGGTTTTGCAAAATGAAGATGGGAACATGTGCTTTGGGTGTGAAGGTGGCAGCTGAGATATCACAAAGGCATTTTCTCATTATCTTTGAAGATCCAGTTTTTAAAAAAACACCAGTAATGAATAAAAATGGAGAAATTTGACAACATGCCACAAATATAAAATGAGACATTTTCAGTGTCAGATCTAATGTTCAGCTGTAGGTAATCATCAGATTTCATTTTCAATGGGGTTTCTAATAGTGAAATGAAAGAGGGAAAAAAGAGACATTCTCACTACATTGCTATGTTACATGTGGAGGCCGATAAATCAAAACAAGAGATTTGAATGCCCGGTGACCAACTTAAGAAATTACATGGTAAGATTTCATATTTTAATATTTTCACTGTATAACTAACTAAACCTTGTGAACAATTAATAGTCTAAACTGCAGAAAGGACATTGGCTCATTATATTTGTAACATGAGCAAAAACTCCATGCCACAGCAATGTTTTACATCCCATTCTCTGCGTGACAACATTTCTCACAAGAACTAGTCCAATATCATTCCCTGCTTCTAACTGGGTTACTCCCCCATGTGCCATAGGTTCTAAGATCAAGTGACCATCAAAAAATTCCTGAGCCAAATCCTAGCAGAAAGCCCACTCTGTGATTTTCAGCAATGAATCTTCCAGGTTCTACTGGTTGCCTGGGGATGCATCACCATGCCCAGGTACAGAGCTGAATTTTACCAAAAATTGGCTAAGTGTCGATTTCAGGGAGGTTCATAGAGGATTCCCTCCATGAGCTCCATTGAGTTATCTCTCACCACGCTCTCCTGTTCACCTTGAATTGAACATGATGTGCTCTTACAGGGCCACTCTGACAGTACCTTGAGATCACCGTTTTCGGGAGTGCTCACCACTGCCACGATGTTCTGGGATTTCTGTCACTGGCACTGTATTCCATTCCCAGCTGTGCACCAGCTCAAACGTTGCCAAACAGGAAGTGCCATTTACTGTGTCGTTGCACAATTCAAAAAGACATCGCTAGGAAAGGGAAGTTGTCAAGCTGTTCTGCCGATTGGTACCTGGACACTGAACAGAATGGTGGAGAGGTGAGCCATCCTCTTCCCTCAGAGCTATCAGAAGAACAGCTGGCACCAGACGCTGCCAGTTTGGTCTGTGGTTGCGACCTGGGTTAGTACAGTATCTGGAGGAATGCCCAGCAATGCCACCAGAAGATGAATGGCCACTGGGGCAGCATGGTGGCTCAGTGGTTAGCACTGCTGCCTCACAGTGCCAAGGATCCACATTCAATTCCAGTCTTGGCAACTGTCTGTGTGGAGTTTGCACATTCTCCACGTATCAGTATGGGTTTCCTCTGGGTGTTCCAGTTTCCTCCCACAGTCCAACGATGTGCAGGTTATGTGGATTAGCCATGGGGAGTACAGGGTTACAGAGACAGGATAGGGGTTGGGTCTGGGTGGATGCTCTTCTGAGGGCCAGTGTGGACTCAATGGGCCAAAGGGATTCTATGTTTCAGCACATTCTGCAGAAGTGCCATGTACTTCTCTCTGCGACCTTAAAACTATCTCTACCACTGCACCCAGATCACAATTCACCACTCTCCTACAGTGTAGAAGCACGCCATTCGGCCCATCGAGATCACACTGACCCTCCCACCCAGACCCACCCCCTACCCATAACCCTGCACTTCCCATGGCTGATCCACCTCGCGTGCACATCCCTGAACACTACGGGCAAGTTCACATGGCCAACCCACCTAACCTGCACATCTTTGGACTATGGGATGAAACCAGGTCATGGCTAGGCCCTGGTGCATGCATTGGTAGCTGAGCCTTTCAAATGCCTTTAACGCTTTAAAATCTGGATGTTTTTCTTTTTTTTTGACTCTGTTTCTTTTATTTCTACTGCTTTCTATAAATTCTGATTTTATATCCAAGATGGCACCGGAGAATGGCAACTTGGTACACTTTTCACCGCACTCCTGCATTTCTATACTTGAGTACACGTGACAATAAAATCTAATTCTAATTCCACCTTGAAGAGAGAAGTCCTTCTGGAAATCTTCTTGAAAAATTGAATAGAAAATTGGACTTTACTCCCTGACATCGAAAACCTACATTTTTCAACCTCACCATATTTTGTCAACTGAATCACCATTGCCCACATCATTCAGAGGCTTGGAAGATTCTACCCTCTGTGCTATTTTGCATATCCTGCTTTGTAGTTTGCAGTGGATTAGCAGTCTTATCCTCTGCTAGTAGGTGCACTCTTTTCCAGCTTAACATCTCCCTCACCCTCTTTTTGCTGACTGCCTGGGCAGTGAAAGTCTATCCACAGTCAGCACTGCTGCTCGTGCCTTTGGCTTCAGTTGGAACATTTGACATTGTATGTCTCAACCTGAGCCTCCTTGTCTCCATAGAAACCAAGCCATCCAGGAACAGATCACATGACTATCTTCAATATTCCATTTTACCTTCTGTTAAAGAGACAGTTCCAAAACACAACCATTTTATAAAACCTTGTATTCATAAAAACATCAATTGATTTCAATGATTGAATGCTTCAGGAAAAGTGACACTAAAACAACCAGTGCAGAGCTCAACTTCAGGGCTTTCATTTTAATCTGCACTCTTACTAAATTCTGAAGTTGCAGTCAGTATCAGAGGCTAACAATGGTGAACACTGACTGCTCAACTTTTCCTCCATGTTAGGTACATTAACAGTTCAGAAGCTTTGACCTTCAAAATCTGAACATCTATACCACTGCTTTCACAGGAGTATGAATTTTGAAATGAAAATGCAGAATACCAACCATTCAGTAATTAATAGGGAAGAAAATCATAAGAGCGATAGTGTGTGAAAAGTATCAAAAGTACATACTTTTGCACCAGTGCTGCAGGCTTTGATAGCAGACAGCATGCAGTATACTGGCAAACTCATAGAGATAAACACAGGAAGAGAGGCAAGTAAAACATTTGCAGAAATATATGAAATTTTTAAATTGAATAATCTGCAGGATAATTTTAGGAAAGATATAGTTACCGTTTACAGAGGTGAAGAGAGTTGATATCAACAGGCTGGTGTTTTTTCTCAAAAGCAATACCACTTACATGCCTTCATACCTTATTCCTGTACCATTGTCTCAATTGCCAAACATATCCTATTCTGCTTGAGATAGTAAGAAATGCCGATGCTGGAGTCAGAGATAACACAGTGTGGAGCTGGAGGAACACAGCAGGCCAGGCAGCATCAG